ATTGTTGTATGTTTGGGTCAGTGTTTGTTGCTAAGTTTAATGTTAAGGCAGAAGAAGACCGTCCTTTTCCCCATTCCCCTTTTTGGCCTTGTGCCACATTTTGTATCATTATATTAATAAATAATTTCCACTTGGGATTCACCTTGATTCACTTCTAACTTACCACTAGCAGTTGATTACTTACTACACACCACTGGCGAATCTTGTATGTTTCAGTTATTCTTATTCAGTAACCTTTTCCTAGGTTACAACAGGTATAAAATTAATCTTGTAAAGACTTTAGTTAATTGGTCTTTGTTAATCCATTCTATGAATTTATTTTGTTGCTTTTATTTTCTCTCTTGCCTCAGTGTTTCTAATTTTTAAAAGCAGGGGTTAGTCAAATTTTTGTTTTCATTTCAGGAAAACACAATCATTTTTGTGGTACCTATTATAAATCTAATCTGGGACACTTTGGCATGAAAACATTTATTCCTTTGGTTTCTGATTGTCAACTTAAGGATTTGTTGAAAGAAAAAAGTTTGTTTATAGCAGTGTTTCTGCCATTCATTTATTCATTTAATCCAGTAATCATGACAAGCATCAACAACTCAGCCAATAAAAAGACAAGCAGTCAGAGATTACGTTAAGCAAACATTCAAAATTGATTCTTCTTTATTTTCTGTGGTTAAGATTCATTCACTAGAAAAATTAATGAAGATCAATAAGTGGGACATTCTTTTCTCCCTAAACCAAACTCTCTTATCACAACAAGATTTTATCAACTGCAATCCTCTATTATTAAAGATTATCAGTCAGAGCGATTTATTTGGAAGTTACACCTGTCAAATTGTAATTTAGTTGAAAAGACTCAGGTATTTTGGTTAATAATAGAAGGCGAAGTAATCTCATTAATGTCAAGTTCGGTAGGAGACTAAAATATTGATGAATTAAGAAATGATCTTCACTTCAATTACCCACTCACAAATGCATCATAGATTTATTATTATCTACAAAGTCATTAAGTATTTAACATTATGCTCAGGGAAAAGTTATTATTATCAATTTCATAAAAATCTCTAAAATTAAAATGTTCTAATTTAAAAAAAAATATTTCCATTACAAATTAAATAATAAATTATTTATTATATTGAAAACTATTAGATTGTTAAGAAAGTTTTCACACATAAGGAAATATTTTATCACTAGAAATTCTAAAGGATTGTACACATTTTAAGCTCAGAGTATACAGCAGCTCTCAATTTTCACACTCATCAGTTAACTCAGATGAAAGCATTCAGTGTATCATAAAAATTGCTATTTTGTAGACAATTGTGAATGTGTCTGCTATATGATTTTAATGTTGGCCTTAATTCAAATGAACCGATGCACAAAATCAAGTATGTATTAAGAGAAAGAACTACTGAGCTTATACACTGCTGACTAAATCAAAATAAAGAAAAATATACCTTTTGCATTCTCAGACACAACCATTGATTTGTGTAGAGCTCTGAAAATATGAAAATAAAAAGGAAAAATACAAATTAAAACTTTTAACATTTAATAGAGTTGAATACTGAGAAATTAGGCTAGCTGGTCAAAAGTTTAAGAGCGTATTTAAATGAAGCTTTAATTGGTAAACACATAACAAAATATAGTTATTTGTTTTCCAAGATTTAGCAGAGTCAACATTTCCCACTGGATTCTCCTGCATTACATTAGGTAAAAATATGGCTACGGCTAAAAAGTTGACAGAGTTTGAACTTGGCAGAATTGTCAAGCTGTGAAAGCTTGACAATTCTGCCAAATGTCTTTCAATATGCCATCACTAGTGATATTGGACATATCAAAACTGCTGTTGCTCATTTCTTAAAAGACTCTGAGGGATACAGAATAAGAATTTAAAGTGGTTGACCCAAGAAAATTTTGTTGGCAGTGAGCAGGAAGATTCAACAGATTGTCAGGCAAGACACCAGCCAATCATCAAACCAGATTAAGGCTCATGTGGACACAAAATGTAACTCAAGAACAATAAGACAGCATCTCCAAAAGAAAGAATTAAAAAACTGTAAAGGTCTTCAAAGTCCACGCCACAAAATAACACAGTTAAACTTTGCTGAGAAGTGCCAAACATGGGACATAGAAAAATCGAAGAAGGTTTTGTTCTCTGATTAGAAATTATTTAACCTGGATGGTCCAGATGGCTTCCAATGTCACTGGCATTATAAGGATATACCACTGGAGACATTTTCTACACAATACAGTTGAGGTGCCATCAGGATCTGGGTTGCTATCTTCTTCCAAGAAACAAGAGCTTCAGGTTATACACAGGTGTCAAACTGTGGTTGGTTACATTGGCAGAGAATTCTTATTGATGGAATGTCCTTGCTTGTGTGGAAATGTCTGCATCTTTCAGCAGGACAATGCTGCAATCCATGATGCCCGCAGGACAAAGGACTTTTTTATGGTGAATCCACTGTATGTGCCCAAATTGAACCCCATTGAAAATGTTTTAGGGTAGATGGCAAGTGAAGTCTATAGAAATTACATCAATTCCAAACAGTGTATGATCTTCATAAAGCCATCTTCAGCATTTGGAATAAAATTCCAGTCAGCCTTCTGCAGAGGCTTATATCAGCCATGCCAAAGCAAATTTTTGAAGTTATTCACAACAACTCACTATTGAGATGTTTCATTGGGCATTTTCTTCTCTGCTTAGGACTCCTTTTAGATATGGTCTTGATATAATGGAATATGCATACACCTGTGTTCCCCCTCACTGGAATATGATTGGCTGGTGTCCATCATAAATACCGACAGACGTGTAGGTGAGTCAAGAGCCTTAGTCTGAGAGCTTAGTCTATAATGACACCCATTGGACTACACAATTGATCTACACTTCTTACCTGTAACTACGACACGTACCAGTCAATTACTGCTACCGTGTTCTAGTTGGTTATAGTAGCCAAATCCACTTAGCTACTTCGTTCAAATATATCCCTTTCTGGGACATATCAGGTCTTAAACTTTTTCCCAGCTCGTATTTAGTCTAATTTCCCAGTATTCAAATTTTGCTTATTAAATGCAAAAGAAGTTTGTAATTTTTATTTTTCCCTTTCTTATTTTCATTTCTTGAAGCTCTACTCAAATAAGTGGTTGGGTCTAACAATACAAAGGGTATATTTTTTCTTTATTTTCTTTGGGTTTAAGATTTTGGCCAGCTGTGTATGATAGATATATTGATTGACTTTTTACAGCTTTTTAAACCTTTTTCAGAATATTTAATGCCAAAAGATATTTTTAGATAGCAAGAAATTTTGGAGATAATAATGATTTACTGATACAACTAATTAATTCATAGCTGGAGAAAGAAGAGGTGGCTTATGATCAAATTTCAATAAGAAAAGAAGATATGTCTTATATAATCTTCAAACCTAGTAGTGGATAATATCAATTTTGTCACATTTTCTTTAGTGCAACAAATGGTGTAACAGCAAAAGAGTTCAAAAGGTTTATTGATCAAATCATTAATGGTAGAGATATAAAAGACACTTCTGCATATATTGATGATGTAGAAAAACATAGGTAGAAAAGCATAAGAACAACACAACAAAAATTTGCAAAAATTTATGGAAGTTGTTAAGCAACTTAACTTGATCCCTGATAAAATATATATATCTTAACTTGATGCCTGTAAATATATATATATTATATATATATATATATAACCAACCATTCTCATGGCTCATCCTAAGTGTTTACAACCACTTCTTGACCAACCAGTTACAACAATATGTTCAGATTCTAACACTTTCGCCCCGGCACCTCAACCTCCAGCATCTTACTCTCAGGGTTGAAGTGTCTACTCAGTCCTAACCGAACTTAAGGGAGTGGTCATAGGTCCTCTGGGCATCCATAAATTATTCCAAAGGTCCACTGGTTTAATCCGGCTTCCTGCCCATGTTGTGATTTGTTTGATCCAGAAAGCAGAAGTGACGTCCATCCATTCACGGTCAACTGAAGATGTAGACATGGCTGGAGAGTCTGCACTAAGAAATTTAGAATACAGCAAAAAAAAAAAAAATGAATATCTGCAGAAAGCTGGACAAATATCGATTCAATGGTTGAATTGGTAATGTCTTTTATATAGCAGAAAAGCATAGTAGAGAAGAGAAACGGGTTACAGAAAAAAAACAAAAAAAACGCCTGGGCCAATTCTCTCTTCTCTCTTCAAGAATTTCCTTCTAGCTTACTCAGCTCTATTTCAATTTCAACCATTTCCAATGTCTTCTGATGATCCAGATTCAATGGGTACAACTTCTACCCTAGATCAGATTTCCCCATCAGTAAACAAAATGCTCTGATTTAATTTCGCTATTCAAATCTACTCCAATTTCACTAAAAAAAAAAATATACGTATGTGTGTGTGTGTTTCCCAGACTCTCTCTCTCTCTCTGTCACATTTCCTCCCCTGCCCATCTGTCATTTACTAGTAAATAACACACAAGCTTTCATATCAACAAAATATGAGAAAATCCAGTCCAACATGCTTCTTACTAGGAAGCTGCTTAAACATACGTCTCTTCCAGCATGCAAAGGTAGAGTCCTCAGTTCTTCTTAGGGCCCATTATGCCCATTTACATTTTCATTGTCCTTAAAATACATATGTACATGCAACTTCTGGTTAAAGTTCACCGTTTTGGTGATTTCATGCAATAGAACCTTTTCACATAGTTCACTTGTTCAAGGGTTCTTTCTTTTTTTTTTTATTTTGAAGTTCGCAACTCATCTTACCAATTATTTCAGTCTCATTATTAAAAATAAAAAAAAATTCTATTTATTCTGTAAATCTGTCCCTCCGATTTTGTCTCACCTTCACAACAGGTTTTGTTGAATCTTTTGTTGGTTCAGGACCTTCCATGACAATTGTGGACTCTTCTTCAATATCAGTTAGGGGTCCCAATTCACTTGGGTCGGACCTAACTTGGTAAAGTGCACTAACTGGAATCCCTCCTTCACTCATGCTCTCCCGTGCCAGTTTATTCTGCCTGGTCGATCACACCACATGCCTCTTCAACCACCACCATACCAGCAAGGCCACGACTATCATTAGTATAATTCCTACAACGGTCGGCCAGGTTATTATAGCAACCCAATTCTCTCTCCAGCCTGAATTCGGCGTACCTATCCTATCTAACTCCGACTTCAACCATCCAAGATCAATTGGCCTTAACAACACCGGCATCTTTTCTAGCAACATCTTAGGAATCTCTCTTACTATGGGTTTGCACAATCCGGTCCATCCACTGGTATTCGTTCCTAACAGCTGTAACAAAACGAAAGAGAAGTTTGAAGAGAATGAGTCTCTTCAAACTTCTATTCTGCTCCACAACCAATGGGTAGCTCTACAAAAAACAAAGGGGGAATAACTCTTATTGTAGTGGTGGGCTTCACTTCACACACCTTAGATAATTCGATCTCTTCTTGTGTGGCCACCGCCCAAACTCCGTCAGAGACACTGGTTGCTTTAGGTAACATTACACTAGCCAACACCTCTACCTGACAATGATCTCTAATTCCCTTCTTATTTTTCTTAAATAAATCTAGTACACACAGATTGTGACTACCTATCACATAAATTGGACTTACAGACCCACAGATAACTAAGGTTATGCTTCTTGCATTTTTCTGCTTCTCCCTTTGTTAATAGCATAAACTCTGTCCTGGCTAGATTTAGGGCAACAAATTCCGTCTACCTTGTACCTAGCCACCACTCCTATCTTCGGCCTTAGTTTTGGATAGGGAAGGGGAAGATTCATCACCTGATAAATTTCAAAGGTACTATCTCTGTCCTGTAATGGAACCGGCACTAGCACTAGCAATTGGTCATCTTCCAACAAGGTAATATATCCCAAGGCGCTATAATACCTCCATAAATGCTGGGTGGGGTCTAAAGATAATCTAAGATGAGGTAGTTTGGCTTGTATCTCCAGTAGTAATTCCCTTAATCGTTCTGGAGTTATTATACTCGTAGACAGGTGTCCCAGCAACAGCATGTCTAATTGTGCTCTCGCATGCTCTAACAACATCGTTAAAGAGTGACTTGTTTGACGTACCTTACTCATTATAGCTAATAATTGGAAAATACCTTTGCGAAAACCTCTCTAATTTCTGTAATTCGGTTGTTACAGACATGGTTACATTTATCACTTCTTTTCTAAAAACCTGTAGGTGAGAAATCAGCTAATTAATACTCCCTCTATTCTTAGCCAATTCTAGCCTAGTACATTGAGTATGGATACGCTCTCTCTAACTGACTGAGCCATTGCTTGTTGTCTCTGTTCTACCGCCTATAATTTCCTCTTAATTACTCTCATTTCACCTTCAGAGACTGTACCAAACAACACACTTTCCCATTATAGGTAATACTGCCCTCTTTTGCCTGGTCCGTAACAACTTTATTCCTTTCAATTAGTAACTCATATCCTTCCATTGTCCCTCAAGTATTAGGGATTCCTGAACTAAGGGGTATAATATACGATGGTATTACGGAGTCTGTAAATAGTCTCTGGCAACTTGTGTCCCGGCTGTATCTAGTTTGTCCATTTTGATCTTTAACTGACCCAGTAACTTCTCATACGGCTGCAGGTCTCTCACCAAAGTTATCAACCACTTTAATCTAGTTATAATCACTTCGCTAGTCTTCTTAAATACAGTATTCTCACTGTGTTCCCAGGTATTAGCTAACACAACTAGTATCGTCAGTACCACAAGCCTCCTCTTGTCCAAGTCTGCAAGGAGATGGAGAGAATAATTCGTCTTACTCAATCATTCTCTTATTGTTTTTAGTGGGTGGTTACATCTTAGAGCGATACCTCAAGCACCGACCCACACCACCACCAGTGCTGTTCATGCATGGGGGCTGTCCACACAGTTCATCAGCACTGATGATAAATGTACAGTTAGTCCCAAATTGTCACTCATTCACCACAGCCACTCTACTAGTTTCACTTAATCCTTGGGCTCGGGCTGCACTGCTCCCTTCAATCGCCGTTTTAGTGGTAATTCCTCATTAACACTAGGTGCTTTTTCAACCCGCAATTTACTCTGCAATTGAGCTAACGGAATTTCATCCACTTCTTCTAATTCACTCAGTTCTTCTTCTTCCCTAAGGTTAGGCTCAATCCCTGCTTCCCCAGAATGTCCCGCTGGGGTCCAATTTACCTCCCTCAGCCTTCGAAGGGTAGTTGGGCTAATTTCAATCTCTTCACTCCCTTCACTTTCACTCTCAGTCTCTAACCCTTCGGGTTCTACCAACGTAGTTTTCCTCAGCCTTTTCTGTTGAGTTTCGACTCCTTTCCATTCTCCTATTTCAGCTAGCTTTATATCATTCGCATGCACTCTCTTTACCTGTCCGGTCAATTGGTCCCAGATCACAAAGGAAACCGAACCCATCTGCTCCACAATCCTACAGTATGGACTCCATCTCTGGTCCAACTTACCTTCTCTCAGGTGTATTTTATAATACACTGGATCACCAATCTGGAAGGAAGCTTCTCTATTTTTATTTACCCTATCATTTCACCTTTTCTGGGCTCTTTGAATCCTCTTCCTCACCTACGTAAAAATTTTATTACTGTTGTTCTAAAACTATTTGATGATAATCTTCTCCTAAATACTTCCTCCTAGGTCATAACAGATTGTCTATAGGTATGACTACATCCCTGCCATATATCAAGTAATAAGGGGAAAATTTTGTTGTCCTGTTCATCTCACAGCTGCTAATGCTTGGGTTATGAATAAATCCCAATTTTCCCTATTATCCTCTGTTAGTTTAGCTAACACATCAGCAAGGGTCTTATGAAATCTCTCTACCTTAGCGTTACTTTGGGGGTGATATGGAGAGGTGGTTATGTGCTGTATGTTTAACTCTCCCAATGTCTTTCTCATAATCTGATTCACATTCTCCGATCCATTATCGGTAACCAACTGTTCGGAGGCCCCATACCTAGGGAATATTTCATTCAGTATTATATCTGACACCGTTCGTGCCTTCTTATCCAGTGTGGCAAATGCCTCAGGCCAATTCGTTAGCCAGTCCACAAAACTCACTATGTAAAGATTACCTCTATGTGTTTCTCCATAGAGCCCAGAAATATCCATGCTTACTTTCTGAAATGGATAATTCGGACCATCCGTTTCTAATACTGGGGCAACCCTACTCTTTCGACTCTGTACTTGGCATGTTACACATTTTTTTACATGGTTCACAACATCATTAAACAACTTAGGTCAGTAGTAATTTCTCATTATTAATCCATACATCTTATCAATTTCCAGGTGTCCTAACCACTTATGGCACTGATTTAGAATTTCATCTCACAACTTCTCAGCTATCACCATTTTTAAACTTACTTCCTCATCTCTTCCTGAAAGGTAATACAACATTCCATCGGGCATCATATATTTGGAGGTACACTCTGCCTCTACCCTGGACCTGATAGTTGCTATCTCGCTATCCTCTTGGTCTTGCCTAATAATATCTCCCCAGTGGTGGTCGGAAACAATCTTCGTTTCACTCGTTTCCTGATCTTCCCAACCAAGTCTCTCCTTCAATGCCTGTGAATTGATCACATTAATTTGGAATGCCTTATCATCCACACCCAGCTCCAACCTGACAGATTCGGTCTCTAATTGCCTCGGAATCCTCGATAACAGGTCAGCACAGGTATTATCCTTCCCTGCCAAATATTCTATTCTGCAGTTATACCCACTTAACTTCAATGCCCACTGTTGTATCTTCTTATTTGTCCACTCCTCCTCTAACAAATATTTGAGGGGTTGGTGGTCTGTTTTAATGGTAAACACAGTCCCACTCAAATAATAAACTAATTTCTGCACAGCATACAGAATGGCGAATACCTCTTTTTCTATTACTGGCATTATCGGGACATGGTTGTGTAAGAACCACTCCAATGCATTTATCGCTAGCATCAGTGTACAGCACCATGGGCTTACTCAGGTCTGGGTAGGCCAACAGGGGTACAGCTGTCAGCTGGTCCTTTAGAGCCTCGAATGCACGCTGACAACCTCGGTCCACTTAAACCTAGCATGCTTCTTAGTTAGAACTATTAGAGGGCCTGCCAGCTGGTATGAACCTCTGATAATATCCGATGATGAACCTCTGATAATATCCGATGGCTCCAATAAATCCCCTAATCTCTCTTACAGTCTTCAGTGCGGGCATGGCTCTTATAAACTATACTTTGTCTGAATCCATTTTTATTCCTTCTTTGTTTATGATAAATGCTAAGTACTGTGTCTCTTCTTTCATAAACTGACATTTTGACAATTTTAACTTTAATCTATGTTCTCTTAACCTATCAAACATCTTCTGCAGATGTTCAAAATGCTCCTCTGGTGATTTTGAAAACATCATGATGTCATTTAGATATGCCATGGCAAAGGCCTCAGTACCATTAAATATGATGGACATTAACTGACTAAATACACCCAGGGCATTTGCTAACCCAAACAGCATAACTCTAAAATTGAAGAGACCCATGTGGCAGGTAAAAGTGCTCTTTTCCTTATCCTTTTTGCTAAGTGCTACCTGCCAATATCCCAACCTCAAATCCAAGGTGGAAAAACATTTAGACTCTCCTAAAAGAGCTAGAATATCATCAATCAAGGGGAAGAGCACTGCCAGTGGTTTCGTAATGGCATTTAATTGATGAAAATCCACACAAAACCTATGCCCTCCATCCTTCTTTTCAACAATCACTATTGGAAAATTCCAGGGAGATTTGGATCTTTCGATTATCCCTGATTCCATCATTTCATTCACTGTGTCCTCTACTAATTTTCTTTTGTGGATTTGGGTCCTATACAGTCTTAACTTAATAGGTGGGTGATTACCCATGTCTATCTTCATTTCAACTGTCTCCATCTGTCCCAGTTCCTTATCAGTAATGGCTATTACCTCCTGATTACCGTTCATCAACCCCCTCAATTTCCTCCTATAACGCTAAGGAGCTGTTATATCTTCATCCCTTATTTCATTGCTACCTGCCTTATTTGTAGGCCTATTCTCATTCCATACTCTCACCTGTTCAACTTCTCTCACTGGGCACGCCTGTGCCAGCTCCTCTCCCTGCTTTATTTTAATAGTTTTATTGGCAGTATTGGTTAACAGTAAGGGAACGGTCCCCGACCTCTTCACCAACAAATCCCACACGGTTATTTCCCCTTCACTATTATCATACCTATCAGTAGGGACCACTTGGTACAGGTCACTGTTCAGCACTCCTCCTGTTATAATTTTGCCCTTCCCAGATACAGTAGTCCTAGGGGGAAGCTTTATATCTGTCTGGGCCACCACTGGCAATTGTTCATAATTATCCTCTCCTAACAGTATCACTATCCCAGTATCACTATCCCATCCAATTTTAGGGTGGTGGGGTAAAAAAAAAAGCCAGTCACTCCCCAAAATTAGCGCACCACACAAGTCAGGTGCCATATAAACCTTAAGTTTACTTCTGGTTCTTACCAACTGGAAAGGTAGCCATGTCATACCCTCTATCCTCATCCTGCCACTATCAGCCTGACTTATTAGTAGATTGACGGGACTAAGCTTTGTTTTCAGTCCCAAATGTCTAAAAACCTTGGCGCTAACCAGTGACACTGAAGCTCCAGTATCGGTAAGGGCCTTCACTTTCTTGTCTCCCAGCAACACATTCCTTCAGCAAACAGTATACCTGTGCCTTTCTCCTTTCTGTATGTTCTCTACTTTCCTCCTGCTTTCTTGACAACAGAGACGAGGGAGTTGGTGACAGGAGTTCACCTTTTTCTAGGGGCTCCAATTTCTGCCTCTGGGCCCTCCTGGGTGGGGTAGAGCTCGGATGACCCTCTTTTCTCAGACTAGCAACCCATTTCTCCCATCCATTCGAGTTAGGATTGTTCCGTTTGGTCCATCTTTCTCCTGCGAGGACAGGTTCATCTCAGGTGACCCGCTCCTCCACAGCGCTAACACCTTCGCTCCTTACAAATGGCCGAAAAGTGCCCGACCACACCACATGTCCAGCATCTCAGAGGTCTTACTTGCACTTGCAAGATGATCGGTTGGTATTAGTAGCCATATATAAATCACAGCTTAATTCATTTTGATGAGCAAGGCAAAGAAGAAAAACATCCGTATCTGGAGTCTTAATGATAGTGGAAGGGAAAGCAGTTGATGCATGCTTTGCATGAAGCAAAAGAAGGGTATCAGCTTCTTTATGGTCAGTTGTTAATTCTGGCAAAGTTTCTGTGATTACTTCATTTGTGTCACTATGAGGACACAGCATGAAACATCCTTGGCTAAATGAAGCAATCACAGTTTTTCCATAAAATTCTTCTGCTGGCAATTTTTTCCAATGCATCAACATAAATAAGATGAGGGATTCTTTATTTTCACCAGACATGAGGAATTTTCGAAATTGTACCAGTGTTTTCTGTTTTTCATTCAGAGCACGTAACAGGTGGCATGGGGTAATCAAACAGTGTCTTCTTTCAGAGTCTTTAATACTCTATGGATTGTACTTATCACAGACAAAGTCAACTCTTGATGACATATAAGTAGAAGCAAGCTTGATTACATATCTAAAAACATAAATACTTAGCTCACCAAACCTTGATGGAACATGGTCTGCAAGCTGCTGTATTACTGCCATTCCATCTAATATCAGTGCTGCATTTTTTAGAATATTGTTAATTTTCATATCAGGAAACTTTACAAGAAAATAATGAAATAATGCAGCTTTGTTGGTACCCTGCAAAGAACCATCAATGTTACTTAGGCTAGATGGGAACTCTGAAAGGCAATGTGAAAAAATTTCTTCCAGGTCAACTTTTCGGGTTCTTGCTACTATAAGAAGCCTAGTGAGAAGGTCTTTATCTGCTTTCAAGCAATCTGCTTTCAAGCAATCTGCTCCTTCCTGCTCTTTTGTTGTGAATGCTTTTTCTGAAGATCACTAAAAGTTTTTATCTTCATTGATTTTAATGGTGCATTCAACTCCACATTTTTCAAAATTAGTCGTTGTTGAACAAACTGATTAGAAATATTACAGCCTTGTTCATGTGCTGTCAAAATGTCATCTTTAATTTCAGAAGATGCTACTTGGCCTGATGCAATGTTAATTAATTCTTTTTCACAATATGCAAATGGATTTTGCATAGACTCAATTGTCTGCATGACACTCTGAATATCTGCTTCATCCTTTTGATATCGAGAACTATTCAGGTCTTTTTTATTATGGCAGCCCTCTCCTTTTCCAGCAATTTCAGTACAGTTTTTAGAGATTTGAGCACGTTGATTAAAAGATAAAATCCAACGATGAACAGCATTGTCATTAATTGAGAATCCAATCTGCCCACCTCTGGTCTTGCTATCTCTATTCATTGTCTGTTCAATCGTCTGGTCCATTGCCGTCTGACTAAAGGGGTACTGGTTTTGTTGCTGAACTACAAAATCCCCAGCAGCAAGATGCTTTGCTATTGCAGGGTGGGTATCTGGAACAGCAAGCATCTCATAGATATAAACAGGAAGATATCTAGCATAGTTCAAATGGTCATATGCAAAATGCCAAGGTACCATTTCTGCTGCTGATTTAAGGTGAAGGGCCCAATCTCCTGTTCGTGTAGCACGAATAAAATTTAAAAACAAATCTTCCATATTCAAGTAACTCATCCAAAATGCAAAAGTTGTAAATTGGCTGCATCTCTATAAGGATAGTTTGCTTTCAAACTCTTTAAAATCATTTGATGTGTAGAGATCTTGGAATTGTGTTTTGGGAAAAGCATAATATAAATTTTTAGACAATGCAATGAATTTAGCTTTTTCTTCTTCACTTTGTGTTTCAATAAAAGTAGACTCTTCCTTAAGGCTACAGACATAATTTTTATGACTCTGACACTTCGATTATAGTGCCTGCCTTTCATGACTCCAGGTATTGATCCTTGTGCCACTGTTCCAGCTTCAAGTAGGACATCAGCTAGCCCCGAATCTTCAAAGCGCTTTCCAATGACACTGAGAAACGACATGCAGGTGTGGAACTCACCAAGTCTGACAACTGTTTTTTGCATATACATGGCATCATTCCAATGTACTTGCTGTGCTTTAGCATAAAATGCAAGATCAAATGTTAATACAATACATTCAGTTTCAAGCTCATCAACAATAGCAAGACTTTTCAAAAAGTACTTTTCACAGTACTTAGTTGAGTTGGGTTACCATTGACCACAGGCAAATATCCAATATTGCTTTTTGGTGGTATTTGGTCCTGTAATAAAAGAATATTGAAACCTGTCCAACCTGGAATTGGAGTAGTGTTTTGGTTGTCACTTTTACAGTGCATATTGATCATGGTCATAGCCAAATCAGTAATGCTTGTTTTGGTCTCTCAAAATGATTTAAATAAAGCATTTTGAATGCTGTCAATTGAAACTGAAGGTAGGAAAGGGCCTACTCTTTTTGCCACATAATATTCTGGTATGGGTGCTGTGGCTTATAGAGTGCCCAAACCCATTTAAAATGCCTATAAGTTTTGACTGACCAGTCCAGTGTTGAACAGCCATTCCCAGTGCATAATGCTTTGGTAAAAACAAATTTCCTCTGTGAGAAAGATTCAGAATATCTTGTGCTATGGCAAGTAGCTTTCTCTTATCTTTCTCAGACACAATAATAAATCTATTCTTCATTTCAACTTCATCAGAAAGACCACACATCAATGACAATGCATTAAAAAGTTCTACAGGAATTATCTTTATAGCACATTCTGTAGTTACACTATTGCTCTTAGGAGGCCAAGATGTTGGTGATTCCACAGAAATAATCTGATTTCTTAAATACATGCTAGCATGATACAAATTGTACCCATTGTTTTCATCGCCATCAAAATGTATTGCACAAATATTCGGGGAATTCATTTTCGCCGTATTTTAAAATTTTTGAATTTAAGGGAGATAACTACTAGCCTAAGAAACGTCATATTTACTCAATTATTACCTCCCTTAATTGATTTTTATGCTCAAATTTACCAATAAAATATTCAATTTAAAATGCAATTTATAAAAAAAATGCGCAATTCTCACCTGGAGAACTTTTTAGATTTAGACTCTACGGCATTGAAACTCCCGAAATCAAGTAAAATTTTTTCATATAAATTTTATGTCCACGGAATGAAACGAAAATCGACCATGGCCTATAGCCTATTAGGAGTTGTTCTTACTGTTGATTTTTTACATTATAACCAAAAACAGCTTTTTGAGGTCAACAAATTTACTTTCTGCTTCTTCTTTCCAGAAACCAACTCTTCACCCAATCCCAAAAGATCCTCTTGACTGTTTAGTGCTGCTTTAATGGAGTAATTCATTGGAACCACTTGCAGCTTGCTCAGATCATCACAGCTGAGTCATGATAGGAAACTTATACATCAAAAGTTGTCAATATTTGGACTAGTAATGATGAATAAGGAGTTGCATGATAATGCAAAACACTTAATTCACAAACCACCTGGGAAAACTGATGCAGTTAGACATTGAAATTCTGTCCACCCTCCCTATCAACCAGCCCTGTCAATTACCAATTACTTCATTTTTCCTGGCTTTAGATGCATGTATTTACCAGTAGATGTACATCAATGCAGACCCAGTCAAAAATACTTTCTGTTTATTGATTCACATGACCCCAGTTTTTAATATGTTGGAATAAATTTACTGCAGGGTCATTGGCAGCATCATACTGACTCTAATGGGGATGACTTTGACTAAAAATATTATATCTGATCTAAGTTATGATGTTTTAAAGTCTTCAAAATAGCCATCCATTTAATAATTTATGGTATATTACACAAAAAAATATATGAAAATCTCTACCTTAAGAAAGCATATAAGTCTCTAAAAATAGTACAAAAACCTGAAAATATGTAAATGTGTCTTTTTCTTTCAACTGGAATATTTTTGGATGTTTAAATTTATTTTTATCATAATTTGAAAAATCAAAACAATGATAATATTTTGTTTAACTCTAGTCATTTGCAAGATTAGCTTATATAGGTAACTTTAACACAGAAGAAATAAAAATATATAGGTATTTTTCAATGAAAAACAAAGCATTTAAAAGATTCAATACATTCCTGAAGCAAACTTCAGAAGAGCAATAGGTTGGATTGCTCTGATATTTCAGAGAATTTAACAGATAAACCTTCCTAATTTCTCATCATATTAAGTAAAATAAAGTTCCTTGTTATCTATTTTTTGTTATTGTTTTAATGATAATTGCTATTAGAATGCATTGTTTAAATTCATTTTTGATAAACTTAAATAGGGATAAACAATTTTTGAAAAATAATTACCTATAATCTTTCTGACTGGCTCCTATATACTAAAAGATGACAATATATATATATATATATATATATATATATATATATATATATATATATATATATATATATATATTCACAAAACTAATGCAAAAGGTTAATGATTTAAATGGCGAGACATCCATCGCCATAAAACAATTCAAATAGTATACAAAAACCTCCAGATCCGTTATGAATGAATTGATCCTTGTTTATATAAATTTCTGCCGTATTAGTTGTTATTTTACTACAAGCTTTCGTCTGTTCCTACAGACATCTTCAGGTATAGAATAGATGTTGTTTTTTTGTTTTTTTTCTCTTAGTAATAAGAGGACAACGAAAATATATGTGTTGTTGTATCCGAAAATGCTATTGAACAGACAAAAGCTTGTAGTAAAAATAACAACTAATACGGCAGAAATTTATATAAACAAGGATCAATTCATTCATAACGGATCTGGAGGTTTTTGTATACTATTTGAATTGTTTGCGATGATGGATGTCTTGCCATTTAAATCATTAACCTTTGCATTAGTTTTGTGTGAATAATTCATGTATTTGTAAATTGATTGCACGTTTATTGTAATTTAAATAACTGATCCAAGTGCGACTTTTAGATAATAAGTGCGACATTACTGTAATTATTGAACAATATAGTTCATGCCACTTTGACAGAAAAATTTACCAGTAAAAAAAATTTGTTCATCACCATATTT